GAATAAAAGTCGATGAAAGTCATCACAAGTTACATTCATAAACTTTACTGAAATTTGGGTCGATTTTCACTGAGCTTTTCTCCCAATATACTTACAGTTACGGGGTGATCCACCCATCAAATTGAAGATCTATGAGTCTAGTTTATAATCCATTAAATCTCTTGTCAATACGATATCGGAGTAGAGATATATATGTATTTTTGCGAGACTACGCATGCTACATAGGTGACAAGTAAGTGTTTCACCTACTTGCTTAAATGAGAGGACTAAATATGTCCAAAAATGGGCTATTTCGGGTCGTCCAAAGAGCCCTTTTAAGGGATTATTTCCTTCATATTTCACACTCATTATAGAGCATAAAAACAAGAGATAAGCCCCAACAAAATTCTCCTAAAAATTCAACACAAACCTTAATTGGTTTTGTCTAATTTTAAGTTCTAGTTGGAGGAAAACCTAAGGGTTGAAGGACCAATATAGCATCTGAGATATTCACCAAATAAGGTAAGTATACTGCTCTCGTTCATCCATTTTTTCTGCTGGAAAAGTATAGAAGCTCGTTCTATAAATGTAAGAACTCACGGGACAGTGATCGGAAGTCGTGAGTTCGAGTTATTCAACTTGTAGTGGACTATTTTATGGGCTGTTTCGTGTTGTTGTTGGATTGTGTATTTTGATAATGTTTTATGGATTTTTGGAGGATAAAGGTTTTGAAAAAACACCACATAAATACGGGTGGTGGGCTGGTCGTTCGTCGTAACATTTTCGGATTGGTCAACACTACTATGGTTGTCGTTTTGTGTAAGAAGTGATAAGGGTATGTTGGGCTATATTTTATGATGGATATAAGGTTGGAACATAATATATATATATATATATATATATATATATATATATATATATATGTTGTTATTGTTGTGTTCTTGTGTTGTTGGTGTTGTCTCGAACTGGGAGGAACTAGGGATTATAGGGGAAGTGCTGTCCGTTTTAATATAAAATAAGCTTGTTGTTCGTTGTACGATAGTTGTATCTTTCGTAACTTAATGATAGTATGATTACCGTTGGTTTAGATTAAGGTTCTACAAGTCGAGTTCATCGTGGTTATTGGAAAAATTGTAATAAGATATGTTAAGGTGAAAACCTTCGTTCATTTTAGCGTGATCTCGTAATTATATGTGTTTGATAACGAGACATAAAGAGAAGTTTGTATTCTTGAACTTAGGTACATTATCCTAGTCTCATGAGTTATAATATTCTTCCTTATCGAGACTTTATATTCAATTAAGTATTGTCTCTTCCAGTCAAGAGAGCAGAGGGTCTATATACAATATTACAATATTTTCACCACCATCTAGCTATAATCGGTGGTCAGGCCCCTGTTGGGCAATCTCTGATAAGATAGTAAGTTATATATCGAGCCTACTATGGTCGAGCGCCTATGAGCGAGCCCAGAATGGACGAGATACCGAGCTTAGTATGGTCGAACGCCTATGAGCGAGCCTATTACGACCAAGCAGTTACACCTACCGAGCCTTATAGGGTCGGACAACTATTTTACTTACTAGATTGAGAGAGTTGAGTCAGTATCAACAAGTAAGTATATCTCCCTATCATCTATGACTCCCAGTTACTTTCAGTTATTATATTATCAGTTTCAGCTTTTAGTTGTTCTATTGCCTTACATACTCGGTACATTATTTCGTAATGATGTCCTTTTTCTGGGGACGCTGCATTTCATGCATGCATGTACAGATAGACAGACGGGTAGGCCTCCTTAGTAGGTGTTGTTCCGACCAAAGTACATCCATCCGTAGAGGATTGTAGATACATCCTGTCAGATAGTGCATAATATTGGGCTTGTAGGCATTGTATGTATATTTTTTTTGGTTTGTTAGCTGTAGTAGTTATGAAGGCCTTGTCGGCCCAGCTTTATATTGATGTTCAGTCAGAGCTAGTCTTCGTTCAGTTTTATATTTTATTTCACAAATTATCTTGCAATGTGGCCCTATGGCCGAAGTATGACATTGTATGTTTAGAGTCTCTCAGTCTCATGTTGGTACGCTTGGTTAAGTGAGCCACCGGGTGCCGGTATCGCCTCCCCAAGTTAGGGGCGTCACACTATGCCTGAAGATTTATTTATGACAAGATTTGGTGATTGCCATTTTGGTGAATCAGTATACCCAACATTAGGGAGAGAAAATAAGTAGTTGGAAAAAGAGATAGATTGGAATGCATTATCACTATGTCATTTAGATTCTCTAACAAAACAATGTGAACACGAGGTTCAAAAGATAATTTATGCAAAATATTACAAATCAACTGCTAGATACATTCACTTACGTACCAAGGATGATTAAGTCACATATTCTAGCTGCTAATGCTCCTGTACGAATTGATGTCCCGGCTGGACAATCTAAAAATGCAAATGAGTCTAAACCACGCTTGAAACGTGATAGACCAATCAGTTCCAAAGATAAAAATCCCCAAAAGATAAAAGGAGCAAATGATCTAGGGGATCATAATATGGAGGGCAATTGCTCAAAAAAGCCATGTGACATAACAAATGATAAGACCTTAGAGGAGGTCCAGGTACCTAAAAATATTAAGAATGAAGAGATCTCAATAAGTTATGTCTCTACAGAAAAAGGTGAAATCGAAATAATATCATTGTCGATAATGTTTTTGCTCATAATGTTGTTGTTGAAATAATGCAACAGGATGAGGATCTTTAATTAATATCTGTCGATGGATATAGACAGAGAAATGATTGGCCAAAATGGAAAGAAGCTATCCAGGCATAATTAACTTCACTTGAAAAATGTAAAGTATTCGGACGTATAATTCGAAAACCTGAAGGAATAAAGCCAGTGGGATATAAATAGATTTTTGTGCGAAAACGAAATAATAAAAATAAAGTCGTTAGATATAAAGCACGACTTGTGGCACAAAGATTTTCGCAAAGGCCTGTCATTGATTATATGGAGACATATTCTCTTGTGGTGGATGCAATCACCTTCAGGTATCTTATAAATCTCGCAGTCCATGAAAAATTTGATATGCGTCTAATAGATGTTGTCACAACTTATTTGTATGGCACATTAGACAACGAAATTTATATGAAAATTCCTGAAGGATTTAAAGTGCCTGAAGCTTATAAATGCTTACGGAAAACTTGTTCAATAAAGCTTCAAAAATCCTTATATGGATTGAAACAATCAGGGCAAATATGGTAATCGCTTGAGTGAGTACTTGCTGAAAGAAGGGTATAAGGATGATCTAGTTTGTCCTTGTGTCTTTATAAAAAGGTCTGGATCTAAATTTGTTATAATCGTTGTGTATGTTGATGATCTAAATATCATTGGAACTCCTGGGGAACTTCCAAAAGCAATGGACTATTTGAATAAAGAGTTTGAAATAAAAGATCTTGGAAAGATAAAATTTCATCTTGGTCTACAATTGAGTATATGAAAGATGAAATTTTTGTCCATCAATCAACTTATACCAAGAAGATCCTAAAGCGTTTTTATATGGATAAACACATCTACTGAGTACACCGATAGTTGTAAGATCATTTGATATAAATAAAGATTCATTCCGACCTTGGTGATGAAACTCCCTATCTTAGGGCAATTGGGGTAGTAATATATCTTGCAAATAATACTCGAACAGATATATCTTTTGTAGTAAATTTATTTGCAAGATTTAGTTCCTTTCCAACAACAAGACACTGGAATGGTATTAAGCATATTTTTAGATACCTCCGAGGGACTATTGATATGGGGTTACTTTATTCTTATGAATCCGATTTACAAATAATTGATTATGCAGATACATGTTAATTGTCTGACCTACATAAAGCCCGATCTCAAACAGGCTAACTATTTATTGCGGAGATATAGCTATTTCATGGCGTTTAAAAAAACAAACTTTAGCTGCTACATCTCCCAATCATGCAAAGATAATAGCTATTCATGAAGCTAGTGGAGAATGTGTATGGTTGAGATCAGTGACTCAACGCATTAAACAACTATGTGGTCTTTCTTTAAAGACGAAGATTCCAACAATATTGTATGAAGATAATGCTGCTTGCATAGCTCAACTAAAAAGAGGATATATCAAAGGAGACAGAACAAAGTACATTTCGTCAAAGTTCTTTTCACGCATGATCTTCAGCAAAATGGTGAAAATAGATGTTCAACAAACCCGTTCAAGTGATAATATGACAGATTTATTTACTAAGATATTGCCGACATCAATATTTGAGAAGCTGAGACAAAAGATTGGAACGCATTATCTCTGAGATATCAAATAAAGTTTTCATCGGGGGAGTACACTACGCGTTGTACTCTTTTTCCCTTAACCAAGATTTTGTCTCAATTGGATTTTCCTGGTAAGATTTTTAATGAGGCAGCACTCAATGCGTATTACAAGATATGTGTACTCTTTTTCCTTCACTAGGCTTTTTTCCACCAGGTTTTTCCTAGTAAGGTTTTAACGAGGTACATTATCTTTCAAATAAACATCCAAGGGGGTGTGTTATAAATAAAGTGATGTATATGGATGTTCATTTAATCCATTCATATATTCTATACAATGTACTACTTGGATATGTACCTATTAATTCCTACTTCCTAGGATGTATGTAGTGAGTTTTGGGTGTATCTTGTATACTATAAATAGGACATTCTTTGCCCACGAAAAAATACACAAGAAATACACTTGAATAAGATAACTTTTACATTCTCCTCCTATATATATCTTGTCTCCATTATTTTATTTTGCTCTCATTTCTTAATAGATTTAAATAGTTATTGAACTAACTATGGGCCAATGAATTTTCCCTAGATTTAGAATAAACAGAAAAAAAGGAGAGAAAAAAAAATAAAGCAAATCAAACGACGACGTCCTGCAGGTGGTTACTCAGTCTTCTGTCAACGCTTTATGCTTCGCCACGACTGCAATTTTCATATCAAAAGCAGCTATTCCCCCCCCCCCCCCCCCTCCCCTCCCCTCCTCTCTCTCTCTCACTCACTCACACACACACACACAACCCAGAAAATGGCGACGAGCAGAGGGAAGATCACATTCAGAATAGTGATAGGGATTTTGGCACTGTTATTACTGTACTACGTTGGCCGCCCTCTCTACTGGAAAATCTCCGCCACCGTTCATGACATCCGCCACAATAAACAAACCGTCTCCGCAGGTCTCGTCTCAATTTTTTTTTTTTATTTTCTATTGAAGTGTTATGTTTGACGCTTTTTTGTGAAGCATAAATAAATAAGCGTTGACAGTTATTGTAAAATTGAGTTTTGATATTTTGTTACATTGATTTTTTGGTGTAGGATTTTCACAAATTGTTCAAGCAGCGCAGAATTCGGTGGGCTGGTTTCACGACGAGTCCGATTCAGGAGTTCGCAACGATCGCATCGCTGCAGCAAGGAGGATCCTAGCTTCTTCATAAGGTTTTGTAAAAGCTTTGTAGTTTTGATAATTTTTGTTACTTTCATGTATTGAGTGTTACAAAGTGATTAACGTTGATCTGGTTGAATAAATTATGTTACTGTTGTGGAGACTTTCACACTTGAAATTTTGGCAATCGTAGCTACATATTGTACTAATTAAGTCCATATCAGACTGTGGAATGTTCGAAGTTTCTCTGTTTATTTCGCTTAATATGAGTTTAAATTTCCTTTCTGATCCTACTTGTTTTGATCCCGCTTACTTGATCTTCCTGTCTTTGTGTTAGTTGAACAAGCTTGTACATAAAATTGAATCCAAGTTGCGAATTATATTTAACGATTCGAGGTATATCTCATGCTAATTTGATTTGCTCTTCCAAGGGTCACAAATGGAATCTACACTTTATTCGAAGGGAAAAAAAAAAAAGATATGGCTGCTAGGAATGTTACATTTAGCTTTTCCATTGAGTGTTTATTTTGCTCTACGAATTAAGAAGAGATCAGTAAGAAGTTTACTTGGGGATATGAGATAGAAGATTTCCAGGCTCAAGTTCTTCTAATTCAAGGACATGTAGTTTTTTTAGGGTAAATGTTAAGTTTAAGTCCAGTAATTTACCTAGCCAAACAGATTTATTTTAGATGCACCAATTGGATTTTGCTTTTGAAAGTATAATAACTAGTTAGAACTTAGAAATTGATTGAAAGAACATGCACCAATTACTTTTTATTTGTATGTTTGATTTGATAGTTTTTCTTGATAGGAATATCTAGAGAATAGCATACCTGGACTTTGGTTAAAAGGATCATTTGTGTGTCAGTGAATCTGGCGGACATATAATCATGTTATTGTGAAGCAGTAATATCTATTTAATTAACTTAAAAGTGATTGGCTTCTTTTAAGAGAAGTAGGTTATTTGATATATTATCCCCGAAAAAAACCACTTATGTGTAGTATTCCTATAATTTTCTAAATGTACAAGTTGGCTCTCGTTTCCCGTTGTTGAGAGATAGTGTGTGCTGTAAACGTTTCTATATTGCCTTATAAGACCAATTGTTGATATGGTTTTTCCTTAGCAAGGGTACAAGAGTGTGGTATGTGTAGTATATTTAAATTGTTTTTTGAGCGTAATATATTAGTGGAATAAGATTGCCTTTTATAAGTTCTCAGTTCCTGAACATCTTATCTGCATGATTTGTAAATTGATGATAATATTTGTTCTCTCCAAAGTTGTATATAAAATGTGATTTTCAGCTTTGTTGCCTTGGGAGAACTGGAATATAACTTCCAAAATGACTAGCACTCCCTTTTCTCCATTTTCTTTGACAAAAGTTAACCACTCAATGCAAAATTTCGCCTGATTTTCTCTTTTTTTTTTCTTCATAAAAAGAGAAATCGGGTGAAAACTTGAGCTGACTGGTTAAATAGATCTTTGTTTCAGAAACTTGTGAAAGTTGTATAAGACGATCATTTTTCAGAAGAAAGGTGTATTTGGGACGTTCCAAATGGAGAAGTGCCATATACAGTCAAACCTCTCTATAACAGCCTCGTTAGTTCCAAATATTTTTGAATGTTATAGCGAAGTGCTGTTGCAGAGAACATATATATAACATAACATAAAAATTGGTTCCGAAAAAGCTTGGCTTTTATAGTGAAGTATTGTTATATAGGGATGTTGTTATGGAGAGGTGTGACTGTAAATTGGGATGGACGAGTACTATTTAACAGTTGGCAGTTCTTAAAAGTTTAGTTTACTACTTGGCGTCATATCACGTACTGTATTTCCTTTGTTGTAACTGTGAAGAAATGTGGAGTTGCACAAAAAGATGATTCAAACAACCTTAGCTACAGTACTCAAGAATTTCAAGTTTTTCTTGATTTTTAACATTTGATCTTGACTAGTTGATTCAGTTATGTTTCTTCTAGCGCTCCCTCAGTAGTCTGTACGAACCATCTTGATTAATCTTTTAGTAGACAATATCAGAAACTTCTTTGTCTTTTTCATGACACTTACGTTACAGCTTTCCTAGAGGTGGGCTTTATTTTGGACTCATGAAAGCTGATATTTGCTTGATTGTTTTGCGGGACCTCAATACTATTGATGTTCTTCAGAAGCTTCTGAAACCAGAACAGCAAAGATTTCGTAGAACTGACATCTCTTACCTGAAGTGTTTGGAAATAGTAGTGAGTATAGATTTTGAAAGTTGTACGGGTGCATCAACTTTGGAGGAATTATTGGGCCTATTCTAGTCTTCACCTACAATTATACCAGGAAAGCTTGTGACTTGTGAGCCATAACCTCAGCGTATTTTTTAATTTCCTGGAGCATTTCTGTCTTCGCATTGAGAATTAATTACATTAACCTTTTTCTTTCCATCTTACACTTTGTACGTCAGTGTAATTTACTTTCCCAAAAAACAAAAAATGTTGATGCCATTTTGTTACAGTGGAGATACCTGAAACTTTATACGAAATCTTGTCTGAATTTTGGGGGCTTAGTTTGCCAAATGGGCCAACGTAAATTGGACACTTTGTTCTAGAATTGGATTTCGGACAAACATTAGAATTGAGTTGTCAGCCCAAAAGGGAGAGAAGCCTCCTTATTGAAATGTCCCTATTTGTATTTTCCCCAAGATTCAGCCGTGAGCTGAAAATGAATATCAAAAAACGGCTGTGAACGTGTGCCGAGAAATCCCTACCGTGGTGCAGTAAAAACTTGTAGGATCATATGGTTTTAGCAGGCTCTTGCGTGTAGTTCATATGACCTAGTATAGTAGCCTAGCGATAGCTAACTCAGAATAGGTCTGCTGGAAAGATCAATATGAAATGCTTCAATAATTTCCCTAACATAATCTCTGATTTGTTTGCATATAAGTTCAATAGGTAGACATTTCTTTTTGATTAAATTTATTTTGCACTTTCCATGCCCGTTAAAAATATTTTGAAAATATAAGTTGTAGCAGGCCGCACTTCCAGACGCCATTAAAACATAAACCCCCGTCTCCTTTTGTTTATCATATCAACCACTCTAAGCAAAACTTTGAAGTTCATGCATCGGTAAAGTAATCGACCAACTCCCTTTTTCTTCTTTTTGGCACAAGTCACTCTCACCTTTTTATTTGCAAAATAAGTTGATTTCGTGCCACTGTTTAGGTTTTGACTTCATTTAAATAAGTTTTAAAAAATAATCTACGGGTCAGAACATGGAGTTTGTGGGTTAGAACTTCGCCACAAATCTTGATGGCTCGTTATAAGTTCTGATGGTTGCTAACTTAATTGGTTAGAAGTCTTGATGGATCGTTAGGATTTTAGTACTGTGTCATCATTTTGGAACAAATTGCAACAAGTTCTGATGGGTAGGTAAAAGTTGTCCTGCCACAAGTCTTGACAGAAGATATTTAGTACAAATTGCGTCATGGCTCATAACTCAGAAGCAAATTGTTCACAAGTCCTGATGTTTCCACAAGTTATGTTATAATTTTGGTACAAATTGTTCACAGATTGTAATGGATCATTAGTATTTGCCTATGTAGAAATTTCTCCAACACGTTTTTGCTTCGAATTAATCCAAATCATCTCCAAATGATTCCAAATTTGTTATCCAACCTTCTATTACCAATTACAATAGTTTTCAGTAGTTAAATTCCACCGAACCTTCAAAATTAATAGATCTACTTTATCTTATTTAACAGTTAAGCTTAATAAAATTTAACAACGGTGCTCTTCAAGTTTCTTCAATCGAATCAATCACAAAGAAGAAATGGGTCTCAAATTTTTCCAACACATATACAGAAGAAAAGGAGGAGGAAGAAAGAGAAAAAGGAGAAATTCCAACAGTATATCCATATTTGCAAACTTTAAAAAAAAAAAAATAGGGACAAATATTAAATAGGCGTCAGGCGTAAGAACATCGTGTGAAATTTGTCGACTGACCCAGCTGCTTCTATTTAGGAGCGTCTTCATATAAAAAAAAATGTAAGGAGGTGGGATTTGACTTTTATGTTCCACTTTTGCGTAGTGACACTTTGCAAAGATAGTGATCACTGATGAACTTCGCCATTGCTATGTTGGTCCAACAATGTGAAATAAATATATGAACATATATCCCCCTTTACATATTTAAATTTTTTTACTTGAAGAGGTGTTAAATTGGAAACCTTATTTGAACATACTCTAATACTTTAAATTTTCCAATAAATGATTATCAATTAATACTGTAGTAGTTTTGAACTTTGATTAGATTTTTCCTTGAGGCAGCTCTTCTAGACCCCATCAAAACATGCATAACCCGTCTCTTTTTTCATGATATCAACCACTCTAAGATAATGCGTAATATTTTGCTAAGAACCAAGACTCACGAGCGACCCTCCCCCCCCCCCCCCCCCCAAAACCCCCTTTTTTCTTCTTCTTTGTAAACCTTCACCTTTTCATTTGTGGGGTGAAACATTAGAAAAGCTTTGACTTGTGCTTTCTTGGGTGGGAATAGCACTAGCAATTAGCTAGTGTCACCAATTATCAGTGATGTTTTGCATAAATAAAGCTTTTCTTTTGTCCATATTGAGCCTTAATGGAACTAATAAAACATAGCAGCAATGTCAATGAGCTTCCTTAACAGTGGCTTATTGCATTTGTTAAGCATTACATTTTCTATTTCATCACCATCCATTTACTATCCTTGCGCCGATGGTGGGGAGCTCAACACTAATCTGCCTCATTTCCCCCATCCACTTAGTCAATATTCTACCTTCCATTATGCATGCATATGGCAAGCTTTTGCAAATTTCTATCTCTTTTTTTTTATTTTAAATTGGGGTATTACTACTCTTAGCCCGCATCAGAAACTATTTATATTCCGTAGCCGAAAAAGTGTATAAAATTTGTATAATTTTTGTATATAACATACATAATGTATATATATACAAAAAATATATATTTTTTTTTCTGCTATTATTTTGAGAGCGGCTATATAGTGTCATTTTCCCCTTTAAATAACAGTAGCGTCCGATCTAACTTGCGTGTATATCAGCTATGTTATTGGGTATCTCCTACTTCCTATCAACACATATATCAAGTAATCATGTCTATCAAAACTTAGATAGGTGAAAAGGATCATCTATATTTTCTATGATGACGGAATTTAAATTTTGGTCTTTAATGTCATGATCTTTTACCCACCTAATTGATCGCCAAATCATACCTCTTGAGCTCTAGTTTTTATTTCCTAGTGTCAATAAGCAGAACTTATTGATGTTTCACAATCAAGATGACCCTTACTATAATATAAAGTAAAATATAAGAGAGTTACACGTAACAAAGGTTAGGTCATGCTGTTTTAGTCACCAAAAAGTAAAAAAGGGTCAGCTCATACAATATAATAAAGTAGATGATGATTTCATTTTTTTTCTTTAATCTCCACTATTTGAGACTTCCAAAACATATACTCTCTCCATTTGGTTAAAAGAACTGCAAAAATGAACTCAATGCGATTGGTCCTTATTCTGCTTGTAATATTCTTAGAAAAACATAAGTCTTGGCTCCTATTCCTATATTATTGGATTCATTATCATCAATTCATCATCATTACAAAACATCACACTTAGCCATAAAAAATGTAACAGTGGGTAGCGCGAAGTGCTTTGACCAATTCATTGTGCACTTAGTACTCTACAATGTTAAAATCGAATTGAACATTATTTGTAGGGTTATGATGGGTACTTGTCATCATTATCTCTAAACCAAAGGATCATTGACTTTGTGTAGCCATGTAGGTTTTTGCTTCTTACTTTTTCTGTCTTCTTTTAAACAATCTCTCTTTTGTTACCTTTGCTTATCAACGGTTACAACAATTATCTGCCCAACTATATATAACAAGTCACACACTCATATTCCAGATACAGAAGTAAAGAAATTCTACTATTGCACTACCAAAAAAATATAGAATGGGCTAGATAATGAATCATACAGTAACAAAAATTCAGTATAATTTCACAAGTAGGGTCTGGGGAGAGTAGTGTATACGCAGAACATACCCCTACCCTAGAGGATAGTGTTTACCTCGAAAATACGAGTAACACTTAAATTTGATTTGTGGTTTTAAAGATATGTGATTTAGTTCAATACCAATTAATAATCAAGAAATATGAAGTAGAAATGAAAGAAACAAGTGAATCAAACCAATATTGCTCTGCAGTAGTGACCTCGAGCTTAGTGACCTCGAGATGGATTAAGAGCAGTAAAGTAAGAACAATAAATATAAAGGACAATTCTGATGAACAGTAAGAGAGAAAAGTAGGATAGTATATTCTTGCCAATGATGAGATGATGTTACAAATGATTGGGGTCCCCTTTATATAATAAGGGAACCCTAAATAAGGTACATATCTATTTACAATAAGGAATATTACTGGTACAACTGTCTAACCACCTAGTACGGAATCGTATAATCCTATTCCGGGATTTGTGCCATGATCTTGGGAACGTGGCAGGAATCTAGCTCATTCTGTTACAAATCCGTAACGGTACAATTTAGGGTCGAGCATACTTAACTTCGGTATTCCTTGCACTTCTATCTTCGGCATTGCATTCCGTCTTCAGGCTCGAGTCTAGTCTATCGACCTCGAACTCGAGCCTACTTGAACTCGGACCTAAGGCAATCCCTCGAGCCCGGGGAATCGAGCGTGCCTGATTTCGACCATATACAGATACTCCTCGCGTTTCTTAGAGTGTGTCGATAAGAAACGATTTGATCATCGATGCTCCGACGCCTCGATCCTGATGTCAATCTTGTGATGTCAGCGGCTAAACGACTGAAAGGTCGCTTTTGTGCAGTTCCCAAAGTCATTAATTGGAGGCGGCTGACGGTCGGCTACTCGGCTTCCCCAATACGCTTAAGTGACTTCTATAAGTAGGCCAACTTCTCAATTTCGCAAACTTTACTTCTCAAATTGTTTTCAAAATCTTATTAGCTCCTTCAATTTCGTTGAGTTCTCCCTTCTCTTCAATTTGCCCTTACTTCATCATCAACCTTTTCTCTTTCTTGAACTTTTACACCACAATGGCTAAAACATCTAAATCTGTTCCCCAAAAAGAAAAAGTCTCTTCATCATCGCGGTCGGCCAGAAGTAAACCGGTAGTGCCACCTCATATCGAGGAATGTATTTCCCCGCCGTGTAAAATAACATCCGATTTTAAAATTGAAAAATCTGTGTCGACACCAGGCTGATGTGAGCCCATGTCTCGATACATCTGTTTGAAAACCAAAGATGAGCTTGAGCAGGTAAAAAAGGGCTGCAACTGGGATAACAAAGAAGTGGTGATTCCTTCCCCAGAAGAGGACATCACTACCCATAAAGCTGGGTACCTAAGTGTGTATACCTACCCATTCACGCTAGGTTCCGTAGATCCAACTCTGGGTCCAATAGATCCAGTTATGCTTAATTTTTTCCAACGATACCAAGTG